TATATATATATATATATATATATATATACACATATATATATATATTATTCTAATCTATTTTTTTAAATTGAAACATAATTAATTGTACATATCTGTGGGGTACAGCACTGAATATCAATACCTGTGTCCAATATGTGATGATTAAATCAGGATAATTAGTATTTTCAACCTTACGCATTATAATTATTTTTTGTGCCCCTTTACCAATTGTGGGCCAGTTTTTTAATTAAATTTTTTAAATGAATTCATTTATTTTTCTTCTTAGTTAACAGAATATATTTAGCACAAATGAAACATGAGATCATCTAACCTACTGGTATATCTGACTCTGTGCCTTAAATTGATTCCATCTGTGCTATTTTTGTGAGATTTAAAACAAAGACCAGAACTCTCAAACATGAATGAAAATAGAAACTCCAAAATCTGCAGGTACTGGCAGACTGTCATTAAATAAAGCTTATTTTTACTTTTAGTATGTGCTGATTATTTGCACTAAGGAATCCTAAAAAAAAAAAAAATTTTTTTTTTTGGCAACTGGCTTCTACAGGGATTGAACCCTTGCCCTTGGTGTTATCAGCACCATGCTCTAATCAAATGAGCTAACTGGCCAGCACCCTAAAATTTTAATTATAGTGTTCATTGTAATGAACTTGAGCTTCGGCAGAACTTCTGTACTTGGGCTTGAGGTGGAACTTCTATTAAATCTCCATCTTCAGTGTTTTATCTCCCTGTCTAGTCATTTTTGCTAAGACATTCAAAATGTAATAACTTCCAAAGATATCAAACACCTACTCTATTCAGAGATCTGCAATAATAAAGCTTAGTGCTTTCAGAGTTAAATTCACTTATTTTTAAATAAAGAAACAACAAAAATCCCTTGGCTTTTAAAGATCAGCTATTTAAAAACTTGCCCTTTCTGGTGAGAAAAATTAGCCAACATTTCAAACTTAAATAAATCATCTCAAAGATAATGGCTCAGGCATGTTGACCAACTTCAAGACAATTTTTTTACGACATCTGCAAAAACCTTATGATGGACAGTACAGTCCTGTGGAGGAAGCTGTACCCCAAGGATGGAGACACAGCTCAGCCCCTCTGTGACATCGAAGAGGCTATTTCCTGTAGGAGGCTTTTTAGACCATGTAGGGGAGGAAATAAACCTGTTCTGCTACCTCCTAGTTTCCCTTGCTAGGCCCAGCAATCAAAGTGAGAAAGACAAAGTTTTAATTATGCACATACATGTGTGCATATGTACACACATTCAAGGGAGCCCCACAAAGAAATGAGACTAAAGGAGGTGGCCAGATTATTGTAACTTATATACCATCTTAGGCTAAACAAAGGAAAAGGGGTTTAGGGTTTCTGGGTGGGGAAGGCAAGTTATAATAAGGTAGAGAAAATGCATGGTAAACAAGGGTCTCGTTATACAGGTAAGAATCTCTAGGGTGATAAGAATCAGCTCCAGGAATAGCTCTCTGCCTAGTGTAAAGACACTTTTTATAATGGAAATCTCCTTTATAAATGAAAATTTCCTTTCCAAAGGTGGGGGGTTTAGACTATTTTGAGGTAGGAAGGGAGAGGAAAAGAGCTTTTCTTGCATTTGCTGGTTCTCAGTTGCCTTTAGCTCAAAACAATCCATGTGCCAAAGAGGCATATTCTGGTATCCTTTAATTCCAAGAGAATGGAGGTTATAAATACTGCCTGTTTCTGTTGACCCAAAACAACTGATAGAGAGAGTGAAATGCCCAAATATAATCTGAGGTAGATAAGCAAAAATACTGTAGGGAAGGAAATCAAAAGAAAGAGAAACCAAATGAAGGTGATGCTGGATTAAACTTAATTCTTAGGATTATGTAGGATATGGTGGTGATTTTCAAACTTGGTTTAGTAGTTGAACCCTTTGTTCAAATGAAAACGTAAGCAAAACTTTCCCTCCAATACCTCTCTGGCTTCCAGGGCTCCACAGAACCACAGTTGGAAACCACTGAATTTTACCTGCTCATCATGACGAGATATGATGTAGAACCTTCAAGATACTGAGATTTCATACCAACGGAGAAGGTCATAGCTGGAAGATGCCTTAGTGATCAACAATCTATCAATCTCATTTTGTAAATGAGAACACAGAGGCACAAGAACATGGAGTGATGTGCTGATGGCCATGCAGCTTGCTAGTGGCAAGGTCAGGCCTAGAACCTACATCTGTCCTTTTGATCCAGCCTTACAAAGAGATTCATCCTTTCTCCGTGACCATTTTGTTATGTTACAGTTGAAAAATAAAGAACATTCTGGAAAGAAATTTGCTCCCAAGTCTCTCTCACTTTTTTCATTTTCAGCTAGGGTCCGTTCAGCTCTCCCAAGCCAAGCAGTGCAGGGCTGAAGGGCACTCATTTACCAGCAGAGTAAGGTTCTGGGGAGTCCAGGTGCTTGAAGTCAAGGCAGCCTCCCTAGGCCTGGGCGGGGAGCATAAGATACTGAGGGGGAGACATTCTCTGGTTGCCCCAATGGGGGACTAATAAACCAGTAAACCATCTAAGGCTATATGTCCCATCTTTACCTTTCTTCACCTGAAAGGAAGAAGCCACCAATAATCGGATCAAGTCAAATATCAACACATTTAAGGAGACCTAGCAACAAGAAGGAAGATGTTTGAACAAACACAATGGGCACCTCATCACAGCAGCTCCAGAGGAAGACAGGGACCCGAGCTGAAACGCAATATGAGTCCGTAAGAAAGTAAGCGTGGCCAAGTGTGGCTGGGACTAACAATGTATGACTGTATAACTAACTTAGAGGAACAGTTAAAGAACAGTACGGCCATTGTCAAGGCCCAGATTAGTGCTCTGAAGACCAAGTGAGGAAATACGACAGGTGGTGAGAAAGAGTATTGGGAAAGGGAAAAAAAAGAACAAGTTTGCAAATAATAGAAAAAAATTGTCCAAGTTGAGGAAAGACCTACATCTACAAGTAAAAAAAGATACCTGAAGGTAAATTTGATGTAAAAAGACAGATCTATGCACATTCTATAAAATTACTCAACATTAAGGAGAAAGAGAATTCTTATAAACTTCTGGCCAAAAAAAAAAGCTACCCAGCAAGGAAAATGGGAAAATGGATCATACAGACTGGCACAGAACCAACCATCTGCAGCGCTAAGCAAGTACATGGTAGCCACAAACCACGGAAGACAGAGACTGAAGCCCAAGAATTCTTTACCCACTAAAGGATTTTACCTGCCAGAATGAAAGAAAGGAATATTTGCAGACATATACAGATTTAGAGACTATATTGCCTACATAACCCAATAAGAAACATAATCAAGGACTCTAACCAAACAGTAGAGAACACTGAACACCATCAAAGAAGACGAAGGAGAGAAGAAACAAATGAGAGCAGTACAATATGTATGTGTTTGATATACTTGTGAAATGAGGATTCTTGAAACAGAAGAGACATGTTATAGGGCAAGGCCTACAGAGAATCTAGGACGTGCATCCTCAATGGGGGCGATATCATCCCAAAGGAGCTAAGAATTGGTTCTTGGGGGCAAAAATCATGTTATTCTTTTTATGAATAAAACATAG